CACGGTAACGTTCGCATGCGCATTCAGTGCCCGTGTACAACACTCATTCAGTGCCCGTGTACAACACTCAACGCCGGCAACTGCGAGCGCCGCGGTCCGACCGCGACGAGAACATGTATTGTTTTTATGGCGGACGGAGCGCCCTACGACAACTTAGATTGTTTTTTGTTCGGCTCATTTTTCATCAGGAGAGCAATCGACAAAACAGACATGATTTTGTGGGCTGTTTTTCGTGGTGCCTGAACACAATCAAGCGACCTGATAGGGTTTAGGGGACCTCGCCCGGGAACAAACAAGTGGGTTGATTGTTTTAAAGGGGCTCCCCCCCGAACTATCATCGGGGGGGGCCCCCTGGGCGGCATTGGCCCATGGTGTGACAACCGCCACTGGTGCTGGGGGCGAGACTCGTTGGCCGTGGCCCGTGGGGCTGGGGCCTGGGATGGGTTGACGGGCGTTCCCCGCCCTCGGTTCGTCCTCCCAAGCGTGGTCCAGGCGTGGTCCGGGCGTCGTTTGGGCGTCGTCTGGGCGCGATCTGGGGCATTCTCCGGGCGTGGTCCGGGCGCGGTCAAGACGGTTTACACATAAATCCTTGAAACAACGCGTTCCTTTTGGATTGTAGATTAATAATGCTGATTATGTGTTTGATTGTTTTTGTTGTTGCGCGTTATGTCTTTTGATTGTTTCTGTTGTTGCGGATGACTGTTGGTCGTGCTTTTATCCTGGGGGACCTTTAGGTAGGCAGCAACATCACGGGCCTAAATACCCCACCCATCCCTTTGGACCCCTCTGACAGAAGCCACCCCCCCTTCGGCTGAAAGAAGTGCCGAAAACCAAAAGGGCGCCGAAAACCAACAGAACGCCGGGAACCGAAAAGTCACCAAAAACGGAAAGGGCACCGAAAAGGAAGCCGGCGCCGAAAACCAACAAGGGCGCCGCAAAACCGAAAGTGGCGCCAGAAACCAAAGGAGAACCGAAAACCAAAAGGGGCCGACAACCGAAACTGCGCCGAAAACCGGGGAGCGCTGAAAACCATCAGGGCGCCGAAAGCCAAAGCGGCGCCGAAAACTGGATGGCGGCACGCCGAAAACCAAAGGGGCGCCGAAAACCAAAAGGGGGCCGACAACCGAAACTGCACCGAAAACCAAAGTGCGCTGAAAACCAACAGGGCGCCGAAAACCAAAGCGGCGCCGAAAACTGGAAGGCGCCGAAAACTGAAAGAACGCCGAAAACCAAAGGGGCGTCGAACTCCAAAAAAGGCGCCGAAAACCAACGAGGCGGCGAAAAACGAAGAGGCGCCGAAAACCCAAAGGGCACCGAAAACCAAAGGGTCGCCGAAAACCACAGGGGCGCCGACAATCAAAAGGATGCCGAAATCCAAAGGGTTGCCAAACACCAAAAAGGCACCGAAAACCAACAGGGCACCGAAAACCAAAGGAGTGCCGGAAAAAACAAAAGGGGAGCCGACAACCAAACGAACACCGAAAACCAAAGGGGCGCCGAAAACAAAACGGGGGCCGAAAACCAAAGAAACGACGAAAACCAAAGGGGCGCCGAAAACAAAATGGGGGTCGAAAACCAAAGGGACGACAGAAACCAGAGGGTGCCGAAAACCAAAGTGGAACCGAACACCAAAAGGGCGTCGAAAATCAGAGGGGCCTTGAAAACCAAAGGGGCGCCGAGGGCCGACAGCCAAAGCAACGCCAAACATCAAAAAGGGCGCCGAAAACCAAAACGGGCGCCGAAAACCAAAGGGCGCAAAAACCAAAGGTGCGCAGAAAACCAAAGAGGCGCCGAACACAGAAAGGGCACCGAAAACAAACAGGTCAAAGAGTGCGCAGAAAACCACAGAAGCGCCGAAAACCAAAACGACGCCGAAAACAAAGGAGCTCCAAAAACCAAACATGCGCCGAATACCAAAAATCTCAAAACCAAGACGGCGCCGAAAACTAACGCCGAAAATCAAGAGGCCGAAAACCATAAGGGAACCGAAAACCAAAGGGACGCCGAAAACCAAAAGGACGCGGGAAGACAACTGAGCGCCGCAAACCAAGAGGGCGCCGAAAACCAAAAACAAAGACGGACAACCAAAACGGCGCCGAAAACTAGCACCGAAAACAAAGAGGCGCCCGGAAACGAGAAGGGCGCCAAAAACCAAGGAGGCGCCGAAAACCAAAAGGACGCCGGAAGACAAATGAGCGTCGAAAACCAAAGGGGCGCCGAAGACCGAAGGGGCGCCGAAAATCAAAGGGGCGACGAAAACCAAAAGCGATGAAAACTCCAGGGGCGCAGAGAACCAAATGCGCGCCGAAAACCAAGAGGGCGCCGAAAACCAAAGAGGCCAGGGGGTGCCGAAAACCAAAAGGCCAGGGAAATCAAAAGGGCGCCGACAACCAACGATGCGCCGAAAACCAAAAGGGCGCGCAGAAAACCAAAGGGGCGACGAAAACCAAAGGGGCCCCGAACACCACAGGGTCGCCGAAAACCACAGGGGTGCGGAAAACCAACGGGGCACCGAAAACCAAAGGGGCGCCGACAACCGAAGGGGAAAGGTAGCTTCGCAGCCCCCCCCCTTCAGCCAGGGCCAGGTAGAAATGCCAACAGAAGGCGGGGAGGGGGGTAGCTTCGGAAGCCTCCCCCTTTTGGAAAGGGAGCCCAGGCTTGCGCTGGGCCCCGAACTGGGAGGGAGGCAGGGAGTAGCTTCCAAGCCCCTCCCCCTTTAGCTAGGGACCCCCAGCTGCAAAATCCAGACAAAAGGGGGCGGAGGTAGCTTCGGAAGCCCCCCCCCTTGTGGAAACGAGGGACGGGCTTGCCCTGGGCCTCGGACAGAGGCGGGGGGGGGGTAGCTTCCAAGCCCCCTCCCGTTTAGCCAGGGCCCGGCCAGCTAGCAAAAAAGTACCCCAAAGAAGGGGGAAGGGGGGATCGCTTTGGAAGCCCCCCCCCCTTTTCAAAGAGGGGTGGCTGGGCCCCCCTCTTGTCTTATTCCGGGCGCTGCGTGCGCGCTCGTCTACACATAAGTTAAAGCTGCTCTAACACTGCGAATCGTTGGCGCCTCTCCTAACGGTTCGAACCACTTCCTATCCTTCTTGTCCACGTGTCTCTTCTCATTCTCTCCTAAGTCTAGCCAATTCAACTCGACTACCTCTCACGCAGCTTCGCCCCGCCCGTGCGCGCGACAAGAACCGCAAAGAGGATTCGACTTAACGATTCGGAGATACACGAAGAAGGGGCGCGCGTCCTCGATATCGGGCTCGTCCGAACAACCCCCCAGGAGTGTATCGTCAAGTTTCCAGTATCTTCTGAGCGACCATTTTCTTAGGGCTGAACTTACAAGTTCGGGTATAGACATCATCTACGACTGAGGAGGAGTCCAGTCGAGTCCAGTCCGCTCCTGGAGGGCCGAGTGTCCGAGAGTGCCGCTGCTCTCTAGACTTCTGAGCGTCACTTCCGCGACGGCCTCTCATCATGGAACTACTTCCAGGCTTATGTTGCTCGCATCGTACTTACGGGCCACATCCCAGAAACAATGTCGAGCACCCCAAACAAGTGTCGAAACAGTGTCGAACGTGTGTCACCCTCCAGGGCCCGACACTTGAAGACCCTGAAGTTTCGGTGCCTTCTTGGTGCTAGAAATCCTTCCTGGTGACCAAGGCCCAAGTAGGCTGGAACATTATAGTTCCAGGCCGTCACTGCCCTCGCGAGCGCCGCTCGCAGTGCCCCACTGGGGCGACCACTGCTCGGGCGCGCAGACCACATCGGGGGCGCGCAAACATGGATTAGCGATCCATGGACTTGGCGCGCGGTCGCCTAATCCATGGATCGGGGGAGGTGCCCTTCCCCAAATGCGACCAGTGCCGCCTCGCTCGGCGGCGGATATTCGCGATTCCCCATGCAAACGGGGCCCGTCGCTAATCCATGCCCCCTTGATCCATGTTTGCGATCGCCTGAGTTAAGACGAAGCCAGGACGATGACGCGCTCGTCTTAGGTCGGGCGTGTCCCCCTACAGGCGGATGCTGGACGAACCATAGAAAATAGACAAACATACTTCAAGCGGACGTTGAACGAACCATAGAAAATGTTAGACGCACCATAGAAAAATGGCCCCCTTGATCCATGTTTGCGATCGCCTGGCCACAGGAAGAGCGCGCACGCAGTTCCCACCACCCGTCCGCTCCTCCCCCTCGGGCGTGCTTGCGGCGCGCCCAGAGATGAACCCAGCCTCGGCCCGGCTCCCCCTGAAGAAGCCGCCAGGCAAGAGCAGAAGCAGCAACGATCGACCGAGAACGAGTGCAGAGGAGGAGGAGGAGGAGGAGGAGGAGGAGGAGAAGGAGGAGGAGGAGGAGGAGGAGGAGGAGAAGGAGGAGGAGAAGGAGGAGGAGGGGGGGTGGGGCGGAGGGGCTCACAGTCATCAGACGAAGCTAGGACGAGGATACCGTCGGATGAGGATAACACCCGAGTCTTGGTGAGCGTTGTTTTATGTTTTTCGGTGTTACGACATTGGGCGGAAAGGGGGGAGGGGGGGGGGTCTGGTTCCAGACCTCTGCTTAGTGCGACTGTTTGAAGCAGTGCGGCCGATGGGGGAGGGACCCCTCCTGCTCGAAACATGCACCAAAAACAGCCAAGATCTAATCCATGGGGCGGGGGAGAGGGGGGGTTTGAAGGCCGGCGCCGATCGGCAAAACAATGAATAGAAAAAGCCCACCTGAGATCTGGCGGCTCTGGAGGACGTCTCGGGCGCCGCGGCCTTCTCGAACCGCTCCAGGACGCTTTGACAGCGTTCCGGAACGCTCTGGAACGGATCTGTCCTCGCAGCAGGAGAAGGACGGAGGGGGGAGGGGCTCACAATTACGTCGGGCATGTCTCCATACAGGCGGATTTTGGAGGAAGCATAAAAAATAGCCAAACAATATTCAAAGAGGATCACCAAAATCGTCCCCAGACTACTTTCTCCCTATTTTTGAACGGTCCTCCTGTAGAGGGAGACGCCCGACTAAACTCACAGCCAGGCCAGGAGGCCGCTGCTCCGTCGCCGCGCGCGGGCCCGGCGGGGGCCGCCGCCCGCCTCCGGCCAGGAGCAGCTGGAGCGTCGGGAAGCCGCCCTCCTCCTCCCGTTTCTTCTTCTCCTCCTCCTCTCGCCTCTTCTTCTCCTCCGCCTCAACGCTGCCCCGATACGCGCCACGCAACACGTATCTGCGAGGCGGAGATTTATCCATATCCACCGCCTGGGAACCGACGTCCTGGTGCCCCAGCGGGCGGTGGATATGGATATACGTTGCCCCCGGGGGCCCGAATATATCCATATCCACCGCCTGCGAGGTCCCCGAAACATGATCCTCCAGGCGGTGGTCATGTATAAATTCCCGACTCGGAACATCGTGATGATACGGAGCTTACAGAGTAAACTGAGCACATAGGTCTGACGCGATGCGTTCGCCAAAGCGTGGGCCAAAGCGTTGGACCAACACGCAGCGTACTGAAACATACGTTTTAGCCACGGTACGTGTTGCGTATCAGAACGGGCATGTCGAGGCAGCTAAGCTCCGCCTCCTTCTTTTTGCGCTCCTCCTCCTTCCTCTTGCTCTCCTCCTCTCGCCGCTTCTTCTCCTCCGCCTCGCGCTTCGTCTTGCCCTAAGGGCGCGCCGCCCGTGGTTTGGGCGGGCGAAGGGGGAACGGGAGGGGGGCGGGAAACTGGAGGAGAGACTTTTATGATAAAACAATCCTCGAGACCTCGCGCCAGAACTTGAGATCCAATTTACGCCGGATCCACCTCTCGGATTTACGTAGAAGCGTCGGATTCCAGTCGGATTTGCATCGGAACATCGCCGCGCGAGCAGCGTCCCATATGTGACGGGGCCAACGTGCGGACTAGAGACTAAAAAATACTACTATTGTGATCCGCGCGAGACCCCCGGGACTTCTCCCTTAGAAGATAGAGGGGCCGCACTGGGAAAGGTGATGCGGGAGAGGTTCGAGCCTGGAAACGATGGGGAGAACGACTGCTCCCATGGCTGACAGCGGAGGACACAGCTCCGTAGAGCGTGGACAGATCTGATAGCGTCTGCGCGAAAACGCCAATGCGCACCTCGGCCACCTTCACTCTTCCACTCATGTTTGTAATGGCCGCGCAAAATCTAGCAGAAGAAAATTATTCACTGCGTGGGGATCCCCACATGTGCATCTCCTTGCTGGCGCTCCCTTGGTGGTGGGACTCGGTGAGGACGAATCTGGATTTAAGTGTGACTGAGCTGCCTCTCTCTCTCTCTCTGCTCTCTCTGTCTCTCTCTCTCTCTGCCCTCTCTCTGTCTCTGCCTCTCTTTCCCTGCCTCTCTCTCTCTCTGCCTCTCTCTCTGCCTCTCTCTCTCTGCCTCTCTCTCTCTCTCTGCCTCTCTCTCTGTGCCTCTCTCTCTCTGCCTCTATCTCTGCCTCTCTCTCTCTCTCTCTCCTCTCTCTCTTCTCTCTATTCTCTCTCTGCTCTCTCCTCTCTCTTTCACTCTCCCTCTCTCTCTCTCTCGCTCTCTCTCTTCTCTTCTCTTCTCTTCTCTTCTCTCTCTCTCTATCTCTCTCTCTCTCTCTCTCTCTCTTTCTCTCTCTATCTCTCTCCCTCTCTCTCTTCCCTCGCTCTCTCTCTCTCTCTTCTCTCTCTCTCTCTCTTTCGCTCTCTCGCTCTCTCTTGCTCTCTCTCGCTCTCTGTCGCTCTCTCTCGCTCATTCTCTCTCTCTCTCTCTCTTTTCTCTCTCTCTCTCTCTCTCTCTCTCGCTCTCACTCGCTCTCTCTCGCTCTCTCTCGCTCTCCCTCGCTCTCTCCCGCTCTCTCTCTCTCTCTCTGCTCTCTCTCTCTCTCTCTCTCTCGTCTCTCGCTCTCTCTCTCTCTCTCTATCTCTCTCTTCTCTTCGCTTCGCTTCTCTTCTCTCTCTCTCTCTCTCTCTCTCTCTCTCTCTATCTCCTCTCCTCTCGCTCTCTCTCTCCTCGTCTCTCTCTCGCTCATCCTCTCCCCCCCCCCCTCGCTCTCGCACTTTTCTCTCTCTCTCTCTCTCTCTCTCTCATCTCTCTCTCTCTTCTATCTCATCTCTCTCTCTCCTCTCTCTCTCTCTCTCTCCTCTCTTGCTCCTCATTCTCTCTTCTCTCTTCTCTCTTCTCTCTCTCTCTCACTCTCTCTCTCTCTCTCTTCTCTCTTCTCTCTTTCTCTCGCCTGTCTCCTCTCTCAACTCCCCCTCTCTCTCTCTCCGCTCTCTCTCTCTCTCCTCTCCCTCTCTCTCGCTGCCTCTCTCTCTCTCTCTCTCTCTAGTCTCGGCTCGAGAGTGCCCTGCACTCAGACCGCAGCCGCGACGCGAAGCGCCCCGCCTCGGAGTCAGACTCCCAGGCCTCGCGAGACCGGAGGGGTCCCAGCAGGGCCCTACTGATTCGCGTCACCTCTCCGCACCAGAGTGCCCGCAGCAATGGCCCCAAGAAGCCGGAGCGCCGTCACTCTTCAAAGCAGCCTCCGAGCTCCCGTCCCACGCGCCCTGCTGCTGAAGGCATCCTCTTACAACGCCAAAAGAAAAAAAAAAAAAAAAGAAAAAAAAAAAAAAAAAAGAAAATAAAAAAAAAGAAAAAAAAAAAAAAATAAAACGAAAGAAAAAAAAAGAAAAAAAAAAAAACAAAAAAAAAAAAAAAAAAAAAACAAAAGAAAAAAAAAAAAAAAAAGAAAAAAGCAGGACTGCATCGAGCATTCAGGCAAAAAAAAAGCGGGGTCTGACCGCCCCACGGCCGCCTATAACGGGCTAGCCGAAATGAACGCGGACGAGCTCCAGGCAAAGTACGACATGCACAAGTCCAACACGAAGAAGCTTGGCAGCGCCCTTAACCGCATGTGCGCCGCCAACCAGATCAGCTACACGCTCGACCACTACCAGCGCAGCAAGCCTAAGCGCACTGGCGGTGACACATCGCACCCACCATCGGGATCCGCACGTCTTCAGGCTGCGGACACCCAATTCATTGCCTTGGACCCTGCCTTTTGGAAGGTCCCTGTTCTTGCCGAACCCACCTCGCCTGACGACGGCAAGACGTACAAGCCCAGCATCAGCCTCCACTACTTCGAGAGTGGCGAACGGCTGCTGCAACACCACCTCGGGCAGGGCAAGCGAGCCACGGGCCAGCTCGCGATTGCTGTCATGGGCCCGAAAAACGACAACTACGTCGGCACCGAGCTCGCCGTCCCCGTCCTGAAGCGCCACCCCAAGGCGCCCAAAGTGGTCCACACGCACGTCCCCGTGATCGTGTACCAGCTGGGCACCAAGGAGGTCGCCTGCACGGAAAAGGTAGCCGCCGCCACCATCGACCCCGCCGACCACGTCTGCTGGATTCGGGCGACCATACACGAGACCGAGGCCATTGCCACAGTCCCCTCCATGCACCAGGCCTTCGAGGACCAGTTCTCGGGAGGTGCCCCCGTGAACGGTGGTCCACGCGCCAAGGTCCCTTTTCGAGGCGACTCCGCTCCACAGGACAAGGCGCGCCAAAAGCACAAGGAGTCCAAGAAAGACGCTCGCCGCCAGGAGCTCGATGGCCAGCTCCACGACACCTTCAAGGCCCTCTTCCACGGCAACTTTAAAGCCGTCACCATCCTCGAACCCTGCAAAAGCCTAGGCAGGTTTGGATCGGGCGTCGGAAAGAGGTCCCTGGCTGCAACCTTCGGCGTCAGTCTCCAAGCGGTCGACAAGGTCCTGGCGGGATCAGGGCAACTCGGTGCCACCTACGACCTCAGCAACGTAGGTGCAGACGAGCCAACCGCCGACAAGTATCAGACCGTGTGGTTCCCTGAGGACCAGCCCATCACGATGGCAGACGCGTTCCAGAAGTCGGTGGAGCTCAAGGCCCTGGGAGTCGTCAGGCACGGCAAGTCAGGCCTGCTGGGGATCCGTGTTCCGCGGGGGTCTGACGTCGCCAAGGCCGCTGCCGTCAGCATCCGCGGCTGCGAGGCCACCCTCGCCAAGACGCGCTACCGCATCACTGGCATTGCGTCACGCCACGCCACGCTGACCCAGCTCGCCAAGACTCTCACGGGCCCGTCCGTCAAATGGGACTGTGAGGTCTACCACACCGCCTGGGACCTAGCCACTGCGGCCCAGTTTGCCCTAGTGCGCGCCCATCGACCCCCACTCACCTATACGGTGCAGGTCGCGGGGTGCTCCATCCCGTGGAGCATCGCCGAGGCCCCGCTGGCTGAGGTGGCGCCGAAGCGGGACAACGTTACCATCGTCACGCCTACCATCATCACAGAGCCTGCGACGCCGCCAGCCGGTGGTGGCGGCTTCAGCCCCGCCACCGGCACAGTCCTCACCAAAGCAGCCCAGAGCCCCTACCTCCACGACCTCATGACAGCCACGCCCAAAGGCAAGGGCGTCGCACCGCTCCTGACCCCCAAGGAGGAGCCTTTAGCCAAGCGCCACCGCTCCTCCAGCGGGAAACGTGACGCCACGCCGCCCGCACGGCCACCCCGCGCCCCAGGCCGCAGCTCTTCTGCGCCCCCTCACGGCACGGACGGAGCCGCTGAACCGACGGCCGCCCCAGGACCAGGTGGCCACGACCCCTGGCTAGGCACGGCGGCGGCGGAAGGAGGGGGCCACACCGAAGGCGCCGCTGCCACAGCCGCCGAAGTACCAGGTGACGTCGTTGACGTCGAGATCCTCTCATCAGGCGATGAATACAGCGTGGCCTCCCACGAACTCAACACCTTCGGCTAGCGCTTCGCATCGGCCTCTAAACCGCCCGATGCTGCCACGACCCGCATCCAGCACATGGAACAGCAGCACGAGCTACTAGCCACCACGGTGGATAACCTGCAGATGCAGCTTGCGGGCGTTCTCTCCTCCCCGGCCACACTCACGGAGCACGTTTCAGGGCTGGAACGGGGGCTTGCCACCGTCGTCACCCAGCAACAGACGGCAACCGCCGACGCCGCTGCACTGCGCGGCGACATCCAGACCCTCCTCGGGCACCTCACGGGAGGCACCATCCACCTGCCACAAGCGGCCACTCTGGAAGTTAAGAAGGAGGAAGCCGCAGCGGCCGCTGAGCCCGCGGCAGCCTGCAGTGCGACCGACCAGCCAGGCCAGGCCACCCCAGGGACGGGGCCCCCAGGGGCCGACAAAGGCAAGGACAAGGGTCGGGCCACCCAGGACCCATATTGAAGGTGCCTCAGAGAGCCCGCTTCAGCCCTCCGAGGAAGCGCCTTCAGAGGCACCGCTCCCCTCTTCGCGT